AAAATTTTTGGTGGGGGGGTTGGGGGGGGGGGGGGGGGGGAGTGACAGATGGACTTAATTTTCAGCTTCAGTTTCCTATTTCAGTTCACAATATGGCCACACACAAGTGTTAGTGCTAGCACAAAGGAGGTTGTAGAAATACATCCCAAGAACAAGGGAAAAGGTGATCCTACACAATGTACCATGAAATTTTACCTTCTATGCTAAGTTTTCTTTCTGACTCACCTTATGAGCCTCTTCGGCTTCAACAGCCATGGCTTTAAGTTTTTCCATATGAACAGCAGCTAGCTCAATTTTCAAATTATTTTGGGAAAGTTGAAGTTCTTCATCGTGCTTTAATTTCAATGTCTTTATCTCCTGAACCAAGCGAGCTTGATACATTTTATCCTTTTCATGGAGCTGTTCTGTGTGCTGCAGCTGGAGCTTCTCAAGAGCCTGACTGTGTTCGTCTCTTATATTTTGAATTTCAGATAGGTAGGATGACTCCAAGGAATCCAGATTTGATAAGTGTTTAGCCTCCAGCTCATCAATTTGTGCCTGATGCTTTGTCTGTAGTTCAGCAACACAAGCTTCAAGCTGAATCTGCTGTTTACTTTCTAGTGTAGATTTAAGTGTCTCAATTTCAGCTTGGTGCTTTGTCTGAAACTCAGCTGTAAGAGACAAAATTTGCTGCTTATGCTTCTCCTGTAACTGCTGACTTTGGAGTTCCAGCTCATCAACGTGTTTCTTTTTCAGCTCTTGGAGAAGAATCTCTTGCTCAGTTGTGAATTTCTGAGTCATAGCTTTGTGTTCCTCCATAAACCTGTGTTATTTCCAAGAACGTTAAGAGAATATTGTCGAAAAGACACTGTTTTTTTTAAAACATTGAAATAATAAATAAAAATCAAAGAAAAATAAGTAGGCTGTACTTAGCCTCCACAAATTTTTCTTTATGTTTCAAATACAGAACTAATTCAAAGCAAGCTACAAAGATGATTTCATAACCACATAATTAAAGGTTTGTGTGATGTCACTTGGTAGTATCCAGTTATTACTAGGTAGACTGGAACCCCTATTAAATTACTCACTAATACAGAGCAACATAGAAATATCATTCTCTGTTTGAGAAAATACTGCCATATGAGAGCATCTAGGACATAGTATATACATTGTCTAGATCTCCAATGTGTTGTCTGCAAGTAAACAAACTGTCATAAGAAACATCTCTAAAAACATCTGGTTAAGCCTAAGACATAAAACCACTGTGGAAGTGTATGTGGGATACTTGGGGGCTCCTCCAAACTCATCTCAGCTCTCTGAGGTCTGCTTAAAGCTTGATGAAGAAGATTTAGTATCTGAAATGCTGCAATTTACTGTAATCATTAACTGTAGTATTTTTGGATACAGACACCAATAATTAAAAAAAGTTATTGGTTATTTAAAGGCTACGTTCTTGCTTTCAGCATTTTCTTACTGTAATTATTTCCCCAGTCTTGTTCTATGGGCATACGTTTGGGGAGGAAAGAAGGGATAAATTTGAAGCAATGCATGCAAACACAAAACACAAACAATGCAGGTAGGAAGGGGAGGAAAAACTGAGCAGTTACAACCTTCATGTCTAACCAGAACTGAAGAATATCATATGTAGCCCATCAACCTCAGCATTCAGAGGATAACACAAGCTTCATTCAACAGGAAAAACTTGTTCAAATTAATTTGAATTGTTTGAAAACACTTGAAAAAATTTAGAGAATTTTTCCACTTACATGTCCTGTAACACTTACCCTCTTCAAGGCTAGTATATGATTTTTAGCTGGGTGTTGTATTCTTAACTGTAACAGGCAGAACTTGACTACACTTCATTTGATTTGCTAGACTAGATTAAATGCATTTACATGAAACAAAATTCTATAGTAAACTGTAATGGATAGCATTACTGTTCCTTGGGAGAGTAAGCTTTACATATATAAGATAGCTGGTGCCATTAAGTGACAAACCTACATCACTATGACTCATTAAGTTTAAAATAAGAAAAAGTAGCAATAACAATGACTGAACTGGTAAGTGAAAGCGCTCAAATACTGAGGACTTACTTGTTTTGTGCTTCCATAAGTTTCAGTGCACATTCTTCCTGCAGACAAAGTGTGGCCTTTTCCATTTCTTTTGCCATGCACGCTTTGGCTGCCTGCAGGTCACTGTCATATTGCTCCTGAGATTTCTGCATGGCCTGTGCACTTGCAAGGGTGTCCTCTAGTTGCTGCAAGTTGTTTTGCTGCTCTTTTACCAACTTTTCCAATTCTAGAATTTTGGCAGCCTGGTGATCTTGAAGCTGATTCATTTCAGCTTCACGAAGTTCAAATTCCTTTTGTAAATTCTGCTTCTCATATTCTGCTTTATTTTGCAGTTCTATACGCAACAATGATAACTTCTCTTCTGCTTGGATTCTCTGGTCCTCGCTTTCACATTTCCATTTCTTCTCTTTTTCTTTGTACATAGTCTCCATTTTCTGGAATTCTTCTCTGGCTTCTCTTAATTTATTCTTGTGATCCTCAGCAATTTTATATTTTATCTGTGAACATAATTATTAAAAAACACATAGAATACCAAAACCAAAAACTGAAGCGTGTGAAGTGAACCTTCTCAGGCATTTAAGGTCTTGGAGACATTCAGTTCTTGCAGTGAAGTCACCCTTCCAAATAAAAGTAAGGTTGAAATGTCAATTTATAGGTACTTGAATTCAACGCACTATTAAGAATTAATTGGAGTGAGGAAGATAAGAAAAAATTAAAGGAAAATTCTAGAATTAATATGGTACTTTATGTTGTTTTCTCTTGGGGCCACTTCATTTCAGGAGTTCAACTTACAAAGCTATGCTAGGTATTTATATTGGGCATGATAAAAAAAAAAAAAATCTCATTTAAACCTCTCCTCTCCTTACATGTTCCAGTGGTATTTTATATGCAATGTCCAAGACCATGATCTCGTACATAGCATAAAAGCAACATAAAAAGCATGTAGCATAAAAGCATAAGCCAAAGTGTCAAATGGTTGCTCAATGACAAAAGGAAAAAAAGAGACTCAAAATACACTAGAGGTAAACAAATAAACACTAACTAAGGAAACAGGGTCATCTCTTAAAGAAAATTAAAAGCTAATAAGAGATCACGTAGGAGCATCAGTATGAAGTTTACTCTTCAGTTTTCACTTGGAAGGTTTGTTTTGAACAAATATTTAAGCATTTATTTATGCTACAACCTAAATGAAGAGGTAGAAGGGAAACGCAAAAACCCCAGATTTTGATTAACATACAATCCATGAAAACTTGGGGTGGTAAAGCGGGGCACTGGAAATAGAGGGGCAATTGAGGAAACTGGTTCACTCTGTTTCTGAGAGCAAGAGACCACAAGGCAAATGAAGTATGTATTTCCAGATGCATGGGGTACAGGCTTATTTCAAACACTGCATTCTGTATATGCTTATCTTTTACCCAGCCAGCAGTGCCACAAACAGGATACTGCAGGTGGCAGGAGTAAACCAGCAGTACTGAAAACTTCACTATTAGAAGCTTCAGCTGAGTCTCCATGTTATCTACAAACAGTCCGCAACTGTTTTCTCTGGCCTTCTCCACCAGTTTTTAAGTCTAGAAAAGGATACACATACCTATTTCTCTTTAAAAAGGGAGGAAAGGAGGACTTGAGAAATGAGAGCTTCATCCATCTAATTCTCATAAGCAGTCAAATATCAGAACAAATTAAACAATGACTTAACATCCAATCTAAGTTTATCCTCAGATGGGACAGCTGATTTAAGAGGTAAGAGGGAAGGTGCCAGATATGATTCTTTCAGCTCTAAGACTTTGATAGTGAAGGTATAAGAGCTACACCAAAGCAAAAGCAGAAATCTGTTGTCCGATTCTTTCTTGTTGCCTCAAAAAATGGTCTGAAAAGTTATTTCAGCTTCAAAAGACAGCCCTATCAAAACCAGAAATTTCTTAGAGGGGACCCATTCAGCAGAAGGGCTTTTTCCTCTGCCACAGGGCCTCCTTCACCGTGTTACTTTTGCACCAGGATACTATGATGTGCTGCAGGGAGATGTTCAGGATGGGGATCTTTTGTACTTGCCTGTACTGGAGTGGTATACGTATGCTTGACCCATGTCAATATAAAAGGTGGACTAGATCAACCCTTGAAGCACCTGCCTTCCCACACTATCTGTACTCTTAAAGAAAAGTTCACCTGCAGAGAAACTAAGCATTTAGCACTAAAGTGCTCTGAACTTCAGACTCCTACTCCAATATTTGTGTGTATCTGTGCAAGTCCATTTAAAGCTGAAGCTACTACTACTAAACAGGCACGTTTAAAGATAAGTGCTGCTTCTATCTCCCTTGGCCTTCCCAACAGATCTGGGTTTGCCCAACTCTATACAAAACAGTACTGTAATACGAATTACCTCTTCCATTTCCTCTTTCAGATGCTTTTCATTCTGCACAGAAAAATCTTTCTGTTTAGTAATCTCTTCCTTTAAATGCTTTATTTCTTCCGAAAGCTCTGCAATACGTCGTTTCTCAGAGTGGAGGAGAGAGAGCTTAGCTCTGTGCTCTTCCTCCAGCACACACACTCGCTCAGCCACCTCCATTTCAACTTGACGTGCTGCATCTTGAGCACTCTGTAGGCGCAGCTTGGTGATTTCTGAAAAGAAAAAAACAAAGACATTCTGGAATTTATTTTCTTTTAACAGGTCCTATTAAAGCTGAATGTTGTCAGCTGTGCAGTTTATCAGTAGTACAGTGTATCAGTAGCCATACTAACTACAGACCAACAAGAATCCCTTATCAGGATGATTTTTGTACTCTGTTCCACTTCATCACCACCTACGAAATCCATCAGTTTCAAAACACACAGAATAATGGGGAAGGATCATGAAACCTGTGGCAGGACCTCCCTCCTGTCAGCAACAGCCACAGAGGCTGACTTTCTTTTTGGACAATGTAATAGCAGATTTAGGCAAGTTTTATGTAAATAGCATGTGCAAAAGAGGAGATAAGGCATCTCCCCAAAAAGCAGATGGGACAAATCTCTGAACAGTCTAATTTAAGCAGTTTTGATATACTGTCTAGTATTAAAAATAAATAAATGAAGATAAGAAATATAACTGTGAATTAAAAAAAGTTGTACTGATCCTTTTAACCAACATACAGCAGAATATAGTTATAGCCATGTATGTTATATAGCTAACTGTAAGTTATGGATGATGAGTTCAAATGTTTGTGTATCATACTGTGCTCCCAGAAAGAGGTTGCAGATACAAGATCTGCCATGATCCCTTACCTGCACCTCAACAATATATTCATTTCATATTGAACCAGTACAAGGCAGTATATTTCTATAAATTACTATTCCAAGAAAAGCAGCAACTGTTAAGAAACTACATAAACCCATGATCACATAGGAAGTCTCATTAAATTTAGCCATGAGGAACTTTCACCTGAACCCTACAGCAAAAGATACCTATTACAAATTCTGCTCCCCATAAACACTTTCCTCTTTGTTCAAAAAATTCATCCCAATATGTATGCCAACTAGTTAGCAAACACAGGAGGAAAAAGAAATATTAATGTTAAATGAGCAGAGCACTATCAAACCCACAAAAGGAACACAGGTAAAAGAGACATGGAACATAGAACAGAAGTGGGTCTACTCTGTGGAAGAGAGTGAGAACTGACCTATTTCATGCAAATACAAGAGACATTTAACATAGCTGACAGAAAACACTAACAAATTTTCAAATAAATATTAATTCAGGAATTGACAGTGCCCTTCAAGTGTCCATCAAGAATGGAAACCTGATCAACTCCTTTTAGCAACTGCTCTGCAGTTGTAGTAGGTTTTACTACAGAATAATCAACTTCAGGTCACCACATCTTTGGAAGTGCAACTCAACATGCCCATAAAAGTCAAAAAGCAAAGTGGTCAATGCCAGGGATTAACACGTGTTAAGTGTTCCCTATAGCTTATAGTAAACTAATAAAATAATTGAAAACTTCTTCAGATAAGCCTTCAAATATTTAAAAGAAAAATATAAGCCACATGAGAAGCTTACCATTTTACTTCCCAGCCTGCCAGCTCATCTTACCTTTAATATGTTCTTCTGAAAGTTGGGCACGGAGCTGCTCAAGTTCTAAACAATGCTTTCTCTTCATTTCCTCAATTTCTGTTATATATTTGTCTGACAGATCCATCTTCATTTTCATTAGGTCCTCCTTATATTGAAGTGCAAGGGAAGACCTTAAGGAGTCTAATTCATGCCTGTGTTGTTCTTTAAGTTGTACCTGCAAACAGGCAAGTTCTTCCTACATAAGAAATGGGTTAGAAAGACATCTTCAGCTTCGAAGAAACCATGCTGAGAATCTTTAGACGAGAGCACTACATGAATTGCGCTATAATGCACCTGCTCGACATGTATATATCTGGTTTTCAAAAACCCTGCTGGTTTTGCTCCGTTCCTACCACTCCATGTGCTACTGGAGCGGCGGAGCCCCTCAAAGTAGAATCATACAATCATTTAGGTTGGAAAACACCTTTAAGATCATCAAGCCCAACTGTAAACCTAACACTGCCAAGTCCACCACTAAACCATGTCCCTAAGTGCTGTCATAGTGTACTTTGAATAGTAAAACAGGGTGAGGAAGAACAAAATAGTCTCAAAAAAAGTCAGTATATTAGAACCTTTTGAGTAAAAAAAAAAAAAAAAAAAAAAAAAAAAAAAGAAAAAGTAGATACACTCTGGAATCATGCCACAAGGCAGGTCTGAGTTTCAGGAGCCGTTTGAAAGTATAATAGAGGGGGAATTCCCGCATGCATCTGGGTAGAGAAACTATCAACTCTCAACACTGAAGAGATCCCCCTCTACATGCCACAGAACTCAGAAGTAATAATCTATGAATGCAGTTTCATACTCAGCTAGGTAACAAATAGCAGTGAGAAAAGAGGCATGATGCATACATTTCTCATTTATAACTCTCATGTTTTTTGTGTGATTTACTAATGAAATTGAGCTCATGCTATCTTGTGTATGTCTCGTCTGCTTGTCATTCCCTCAGTAAAAAAAAAAAAAAATTATAATTAGTTTAAAAAATAAAAATCTAAAGCTAAAAAAAAAGGAAAATTCCTTTTTGAAACTCTTAGTCAACTTCAAATAAGTGGAGCAAAGAAGTCAAGATCTTCAATTACAACAAGGTACATGAAAATAGGTGCATAAATAGAAGAGGGACCAAATTAGCATCTCCACTTGAAGAGATCATACAGCAATAAAAGACACAATTACTACAGAAGCTATAGAGAAGAGAAACACCATGAATTCTGTACTTGTGTGGAAGAGCTTTGATAAGCTCCTTACTAGGCATGGGATAACCCAAACAGAGGACACAAAATTACAGAACACCATGTTTCATCTGTTCTGCCAGTCTGAGAACTATTTAAAGTTGGTAATTTACAATATACTTGTCAAAAATAATTAAGCCTTAATAAATGTCTTAAATTAACTATCTCTTCGTTAAGAGCTAAGAAACAGACATCAGTTTTCATACAGGTCATGTAATGAACTTTAATAAATCAAAAATACTACCTGATGTTGTTCCAGCTGTTGATTTAACTGACCAAGGGTATCTCTTCTTTTTTTCTCAGTAGTCTTTTCAAAAACTGCAACAGAAGAACTGAGAAAAGGGTTTTAAAGTTTAGGATTGTAACATGTGTCACAAATTAAGTTAAATGAACTTGCCGACTTATAATGTAGTACTGAAAGTAGGCAGAGCAACTATAACAACGGCTCAGGCCTGCGCACTCATGACTTCCATTGCTATGTTTCTAAGTACAAATCACCTAATGCCCAATCCCAACATATTCAGATGTTAACGTAATCTTTTATATTAAAAAAAAAAAAATGTTAGCATGCTGTCATAACATGAGATGAAAGGAAAAAGAATAGATTACCTGATGTCCCCTGCTTGATCTTGACTCACTTCCAACTCTGACAGTGAATATTCCTTCAGTTCTTGCAGTCTCTGATGCAGCAAAGTCAATTCTTCTCTGTAGTTTTCTTCAGCAATTCTTAGCTTCTTTTCAAAATAAAGTCTCAGTTGTTCCAATTCAGTTTCATGCTCACTTTTTCTTTGCTGACGCTGCTGTTCAAATTCTTGTTTTAAACGCTCTATTTCTTCCACCCGTGATGCACGAGCCAGGAGCTGCTCTTTTAGCTCTGGAATGGAGGCAAAACCAACACAAGTACTCAGAAGGACATATCTTTAGGCTAAGTCATTCTGTGAAGATAAGCCATATTTTAATTGTTGAGATACCAGTAAAATGTTATCCCATAAGCTACATAAGAAAATGAACTTCTGAAAGATGAAACATTCCTTCCTCAGAAAACAGTAAAACCATATTCTCCATTTACACTGCAGAGAAACCATCCTCATGACAAGAATCAAAACTACCAGCAGACTGTCTGCCCTCCTCTTTTCCTTGTGGTTCAGGTCTGGGCTAGTGACATGCAGAGTCCTGCAATACTGCTTAATCTTCACACCTGCTTGTTGTAGCAACCAGAAGCAACAATTTAGTCAAGAACATTTAATTTGCTTCAGGGAAAACCACCCAACAAACAAAACCAATTTTAGCACAAACTATGCAGAAAAACAAAATCACAATAAAGAAAAAGTAAAATCAATTCTGGATTACTTTAGTGATGGTTTGGCTATCCATCATGAGCTCAAGCAGATGCTAAATTCATTGAATTAAGAAGAACTATCCAACCAAAAAAAAAAAAAGTTAGAATGCAGTAGAAAACAGCAATCAAGTCTGGTTCAGCAAGCTACCTTCCTTTCAGGGAATGAGGACAATGGCCAGCATCGCAGCATACTCGTGAACTCTTTGAGAGCTTTCTTCCCCACATTCTGTATTAAAGAAGCATTAACGTATCAGGAAGTGAAAAGGTCGGGAAAAAAAAAGAAAATCTGCTGAACATGGAACCGCATTTAAAGAAGAAAGAACTTGGAGAAAAGCATCTGCTTACATTATGCAAGAAGAGAAACTTCAGAAACATTTATGGAAACACAGGATGTCACCCAGGAAGCAACACAGCTCATTGTTACAGTGTGGTTTTGTGTAGCAAACCAGAAAAGGCACACTTGGCATGAAAAATTCTCACAACAAACATGCAAACAGAAAGAATAAGAAAAGTAAGTACATAGCTCAAGTGTCCTGGTTTCAGCTGGGATAGAGTAAATTTTCTTCTTAGTAGCTAGTATAATGCTGTGTTTTGGATTTAGGATGAGAATAATGATAGCAACAACTAAAACATCAGTGTGTTAAGTAGCGTTTATACTAGTCAAGTTTATACTACTTCCCATGCTCTGCCAGGTGCACAAGAAGCTGGGACAGAGCATTGCCAGCACAGCTGACCCAGACTGGCCAAAGGGCTATTCTACACCATATGACATCATGCTCAGTATATAAGCTGGGGGAAAAAGAAGGAAGAGGGGGGACATGTTTGGCATGATGGTGTTTGTCTTCCCAAGTAACTGTTACGTGCGATGGAGCCCTGCTTTCCTGAGGATGGCTGAACACCTGCCTGCCGATGGGAAGGAGTGAATGAATTCCTTGCTTTGTTTTGCTTGTGCGCGTGGCTTTTGCTTTAGCTATTAAACAATCTTTATCTCAACCCACGAGTTTTCTCACTTTTACTCTTCCCATTCTCTCCCCCATCCCATCGGCGGGGAGTGAGTGAGGAGCTGTGTGGTGCTCAGTTGCTGGCTGGGGTTAAACCACAACATCAAGCCTGCTTCCAAAGGGAGCAGCTGCCAAGCACAAGGACCAGAGGAGTCAAGTGACAAGCAGGGACTAGTAACACCACCAATGAGATAGGCAAGGGAAGTCCAATCTGGCACAGGTAGGTTTTGCCTAACCACCAAAGTCTGCCAGCACAAAATTAACCCAGAAAACTGTTTAACAGTTTTGAACAGGCATGTCACTCTTCCATTAGAGCAGCGATCCCATCATCCAGCTGCTATGTTTTGAATCCACCACCACAAGTCCTCAAACCAATCCAAATGGATTGTCAAATGACCACTCAAGTGAAGAAAAGCAGAGTAAAATAAAACACCTTTAAGATCTCAGACACCAAAAGAGATATCCTCACCTGGACCATGGGCTTGCATTCTGGTCTCACCATCTCAAGCAAGATGAAGAAGAAACAGAAAGGGTCCAAAGAATGGGAATGCGAGTGATTAGAAACATGGAAAGACATTTGAAAGGTTAATAAAGATCAGGGCTACAGAGAGGAAATATGAGAATTCCTGCAAATACTATAAAGTGCCATCTGCTATAATTCTGTAATATCAAACAGAGATCTGAAAAAGTCAAGGTAAAGTCTGACTAGACAGAAAAATTATTTATTCAATTTATGACAAAAAACAACAAAAAACACCCTCGCAAAACCCTATTATACTTCAAAAGCTGTTTACAGTTACATTATTTAGAAAATCTGAAGTTGCATTTAAAACAAAAGGCAAATGTAATATGCTTCGACTACCCCAGCAGAAGTAAAGAACGCCACCTAACGTTAGAGTCTCAATACAAGGTGAACACACACATAGTCAAGGTTAATGTCATGGTCTCTAGCTTTTTTATTTTTCCAAAATTTTGTCTTTGTGTATTATACGTCTGTTTCGCACACGCATCTGAGACACGTTCTACTTCATTTTAACTGAAAATGTGTGTTGTCTCCAATCACTACGCTGTAAAGTTGACTGTTTTAATACACCTAAATCTTGAAACAGATATCTTAAGATATATAAAGCATACCATGTCAGATTTCAGCCAGTCATTATTTTGTCTCAAGCTTTAGAATTTTTTCATAAGTTTAATGCAGATACATAAGACTAATTAAAAAAACCCAAACAAACAAAAACAAAACACCAAACACCAACAAAAACCTCCAAACTGTTCATGTTTAATTGCTGTACACAATGTTTTTCCTTTATTTTTTGCTTTTAGGTTTAGGGGATTTGTTTATTTTTTAAACAGAAGCATCGTTATGGAAAAAGGAGGTTATTTTTAGCCTTACAGAAAGAACATTATCATTTATTCTGATTTCAGAAGTATCACCTGAATGTTTTTATTTTATTTTTAAAATCAAGATATCTTTAACTCAGGGCTTTTCTATATTTAAAAGTATTTCAGAAGATGGTGAATCTCCATTTTGAGTGTCAATGAAAAAGCATTTTATTTAACTGAGCTCAAAACTGAAAGGGAAAAAAGCCATTTCTACCTCAAGATAAACCTAATCACACAGTTTTAAAATATTTCTGCCTTTTTTTTTTTTTTTTAAGCAGACTGATCTCTTAATTACCTGCAAATAAAAGAAAATGTATCATAGCTACAATAAACCACTTGGAATCATAAACTAAGTGGTGATCATTACTGTCTACCTTCAATTAACAATTTTCTCAATTGAATTCATACCCATTTCCATACTGAACAGAAATAGGAGCATGTTATTGCATTGACCAGCATTTTCTCCATTTTTTATCTACATTATACTTAATTTGACATTGCAGTGAAAAATGTTTGGTTTCCATTAAAGATTTTTATAGGGTGCAGGAACAGAGTGGGAAGGGAAAGGAAAACAACAGGAGTGAGCTTGTCCCTACAGCCATACCATGATTTTTGATACTGCAGAACCAACTAGTCATCTGACACTGACTCACCTCTTGCTTCAGAAACAGGTCATGCACCCAGTCGCTAGGGTACAACCCACGACACTTTTGTGACCTACCAGTGTTTTTCTGGTACACAATTAGAAGTATTTCAATGTGTACTTCTATATGAAGAAGAAGCAAAAAATAAAACACGTCAGTTTTGAACATACCACTTAGCTCTTGCCGATTTGCTCGGGTACTGTCAAGCTGAGACCAAAGCTGCCTGATTTCTTCTTGTGACCGAGTCTTGAGTTCTTCATGCATGACCTGAAGTTTCTCCAGCTATGGAAGACATGTTAATAAAAAAACCCAAACCAACCAACCTTTTTAAAACAATTTTGTTCTAATTGCTTATTTTATATGCAACAGACAGTTCTGTCAGAAATAGGTGGAAACACTTACTGACAACCAGACTCTCAGCTCCCCACCCAGGCTACCAGAGATACTGAGTAGCACTTAACTGTTAGACCCACTCCTTTAAGAGAGAGGAATTTATTCCTGATGCCATATTTATCATCACTGGCAAAAACAGAGCATTAGCTAGATAAAAACGAAACACAAGAACCAGAAAATTAAGTATATAAATACATAGGAAGGAACGGCACCAAATTGCACAAAGGCAATTGCATTCAAAAGATTTTGAACCCCTACAGGAAATCCCAGAGTATTTACCTACTTTGAGAGATGCATTTCAGTTTTTCAATAAAATCCCTAAATACAAACAAGTCACCCAAATGATAAGTATAGGGTCTAGTTTTTGTTATATAAAGAGAGCAATCAACCACTTGAAATTAATAAAGAGGTATTATTTACCTCTTTCTGAAGATTCTGCTCTTTTTCTTGGCTTTTCATTTTCCTGTCTTCTAGGAGTTGGTTATGTTCAGCCTGCAGCTGTTCTTGTAATTTTCTAATGGCTATCTGGTGTTGCTTCTCCAATTCTATACATTTTACTAAAATAAAAAATGAGTTCTGTTATACCACCATCTTGGTTACTGAATAACCTGTACAACTTTGTGCAACTAAAATAGAAATGCATGGCTCTAGACTAGAATGTTAACTTACAGGAAATCACAGAAATACTTGAATAGTAAGTTATTTGAAAGTCAAACATTTCCACACAGTGCTTCCTAGGTCTCTGCATCCCACACTGTTAGCCAAGAGGTAACCAAGGGCAGTGCCAGAGGGATGAGCATCTACTCTCTGCATACACGAACAAGCATCCCAAACTAGAAGCACACATACTTGGAACAAGTACTTGGATCAAGTACTTGGATCAAGCATTTCTTCATGGCCTACAAATACAGAATTTCTCCTACAACCACACTCAGCAGCAGGCAGTAGAAGAGATGAATAGGAATGACTAGGAAAGCTCATGCCAAGTACACTCTGCCTCAGCGCTGAGCACTCTCTGAACGCTGTAGACTTGCTACTACCTCATCTGGTCAACAAATCTTGATCCGCCCAGAAAGAATCTGCAATCAAGTGACCACATTTCAGCCACAGTGAGCTGCAAGAGATGCACATTATCCTCACAGAACAGACTTTAACAATACAGGCTCAGGGACATCTAGTAAAGCCAGTGCAGGCTGGGAAGAACAAGCCATTGCTACAAACACGTCCTCGCAGCAGCCAAAGGCAAGCCAAACACTGTGAAAGCATCTGGCCCTTGGCAGGTCAAAAAGGGTACTCTTCACTTCTCAAACGTGGCCTTGCTGCCAGCCAGCATCATCCAGTACCCTTAACACTGCATTTCCATTTCTTTGAAGAGAGCATTATTTCCCATGTCTCACCTGCACAGTGCCTCACAGGCTAGGCAACCCAACTAGCTATCTCTCTTCACTTCATGGTACACCATGACTCATGTCTCCTTTTCATGCCATCACTGACAGCAAATCTGATGCTACTGTGCCAGTCAACCACTATCTCGACAAATGTGCCAGATTTTCGAGACCTACACAAACTTTTCATAGTCCTGTCTCCTATCTGCACCTCAGCAAAAGACATACACAGACGTACCTGGCTAGGTACTCATCCAGATTTTATTTTTCAAGTTAATAAAAACTCCAATTACAGCAGTCTCAAAAACATCACTTCCAGAACAGTATTTTAAAAAGCTACTGTTCCATTAAGCTTTAACTATTCATAGTCCAAACCTGAATTTTTTGTTAGAAGAAGCTTCTATTAATATTAATTGGAATTTTGATTAATCCAGTAACTGCCAAAGCCAGTTTTCAGCTGGAAGCAAAACAGCACCTCCCTTTAATATGCTTGAAGGAAAACATAGCCCATCTCATATTCTGTGGAAGTCAAAACACAACACAGCTAACCAGTCTTTAAACAATTTTTCATTTATGTCCTGTTTTCTAGACAGCCTCGTGCCATCGACCCAGTTTTTAAGTAAGAGTACATGGATATATCTTGTATTTGCTTTTCATACAGGTTCTAAAAACACTTAGTTAGCTTTGCCATTGTTCAACTGCTTCCCAAACCATAGCACTTACTTTTAGACTGTTCGTTCTCAAGAGAAAGAAGCCCCAGCTCTGCTTTGAATTTTTCCAGTTCCATTTCCAGAGTTTTCTGCTGTTCCATCATTTCAGTCTGATGTTTTTCAGACAGCTCTTCACACGTGCTTTTCAAACACATCTCAGACTCCAATTGCCAGTCTCTTTTGAGAGTCTAAGAGAGCAAGACATGCGTTATTAAAACAAACATATTTATTAAATCAGTACATTCCCCCCTCCCCCATTTGTCCTCTAATAAATGTGTAGTAGACATGGGACTTCTACCAGCTCTAGTTTTACTTTTTCTTGTATGAAGAACAGAATTTGTACCTCTAATGCCTGGATACGTGTCTCTTCCATTTCCAATTCTATTTTCTTTCTTTGATCAACTGTGAATAAAATACTACTTATTAATAAATTTACATAAAATGTTATGATTAAATGACAAGTAGGAATATGGATTACCATTTTCAGCATCAAACTCAGGGCTTAAATAGGTAGGCATGCAGCAGTGTAAAGTACTGGGCTCTAAATCTGCTGCTATGCTGTAACCCAGTAATTCACTTTCATTTTAGAAAATAAGCATCTAGCAGTTAAAACTGCAGACAACCCTGAAGGTTAAGTTCAGCTCAATTAGCAAAGGAAAGTCTGCTTAAATCTACAGAGAGCATGATACTAACAAAAAAAAAAAAAAAAAAAAAGAAAAAAAACAACCCCAAAACCAACCAACCAAACAAAAAAACCCCCCAAAACCCCAAACCAAACCCCTACACCTTTATTCCTAAAGATATACATTCAAATGCCTATCAATGTCATTTTAGATGCTAGTGTTTCACTGCACATCACTATTAAGTGTTTGAATCATCTCTGTCTCCAGAGACACAGCAAGAGAGTAGCAGGCAGCAGCAGCAAGTAGGAAAGTCTCTTCAAATTTCTTCTAAAAACGCCTAGGAAACAGACTGCAAGACAGATGCTATTATCTGCTCAATTACCACTGACACCAACAGCCTCTTCCTTCCTAGCTCCTCCCTATATTCATTCCAACTTCTTGTTCAGTGCCTTTCTTGATCTGCAAGAACCCTGTAAAGGCCTATCAATCCCCTTCCCACAGCTTCAAAGTACTGTTGCCTTAGCTTACAACCTTATTTCAAGTCTTTCAGTGGGAAATGAGAACTCCAAGACTAAGATGGTGCCAGCTACCCAGCTAATGGTCCAGTAGAGGAAGAAATATCATCTAAGTCACAAGACAGTGTCACAGTACTCAAGTGACTCGAGTCACGCCCAATCATCACCTCCCTGAAAAGAACCCCAGGTAGCAGCATCCACAACTCCCCACCAGGGATCTGATTCCAGATTCTCCTTCTCAAGCACTCATAAGTGTTACATTCATATTAAGTTACATTGCCAAAACGCACGTAAACAGCACTGGTCTTAAGAACTGCATCCAGACCTCCTCCTGCTCCAAAATCCCACCATGCCATCAGTTCACTGTATTACTGGTGGTAACAAATTGTTTCCTACTCTGTGGTCAAAAAGACACAGCCCTAAAACATTCTCCTCCTCTCAGGGAAGAACAACTAAAAGAATGGTTCCTAAACTTCTTCAGTGAATTGCTGCAGGCCTCACCTTTCCAGAAATTCCTCAAGCTCTGCCATACAGGTCAGAAATGGTCTCCTGATCTGGGAAGAGGCAAATATCCCAGACAATGCCAAGAGCACCATCAGCAGGACTTCAGTACCATCAAGTGCAGCTTTCCTCTTGCTGATGTCAAAATACAATCTTATATCAAACACATCTCAAAGGACACCCAGCTGCAGGTTCTCACTAAGCCTTTCAGTTCCTTTCCAACTCCTTTATCCTCCTTTTGAAACCACTGAGAGGGCCAGCCAGTAAGCACATCTGTATGTTGTCAGAAACACAACAGTAGTCAATGCTGACTTAGGGCAATAAAAACCTTTAAGAAACATAAGAGGTAAGAGCTCTACTCTTTGCACTGATTAAATTCTTTACGAGAGCTCTGTGTAATGCCTCTTGAAAGCAACTAGTTCAGTATAGTGCTATTTTACAAAAGCAGCAGCGAAACACCCATATAGTTGAAGAAAAATTAAACTTAGGTTGGGACAACTTTTCACATATAACACATGCACTCTTGCACATGTCAATCTAGCCGCTGTCCCTATTCAAGGCAACACCAGCCATCACTTAAAAGGCCAGCTCTACACCAAGACAGGAACCTGTGGAGGCAGAAAAATACTGATGGGGTTTCAATTTCTAGTCCGTTATTCCCCAATTTTAATACCTAGTTCTTGCTGATACTTTGACTTAAGGTCTTCTTTTTCCTTCAGACACTGTTCTTTAATCTTCTCCCACTCCAGCTGATGGCGGCTTTGCAGAATTGCTATCTCTTGAGCACGCTTATCATTGAGCATCTCCCGTAGTTCCACAAGGGCAGTTTCCTTTTCTTTTCTCAAGTTTGACTGCGTAAGCTCAAGCTGGGAGGTGTGCATATTATTTAAGCTTAGGCGTAAAGCTTCCAATTCAAGGCTGTGCAGTGTCTGTAATGGAGAAGGAAAAGCATTTTTCCCTCCCCTCTAATGAAATGTGTTCACTTTTTTTCATGACCAGTTTCAGTTTTAATTGCTTTCAACTGTTAAACACATCTAAGTTTTGCCTTTCTGTACTTGGAGAGTGTTTCTTCATGGAAGGGACAGAACCCTGAAAATAAGCTGGCTTTTGTTGCAATGAGATTTGCATAACATTTTCAGTGTGAAGTAAAAGGCTTTCCTTACCTGTCTCTTAACTTCATCTCCTACCAAATGCCTTGCATCTGTCCACTTCCTCACAATGTCATCAGAGCAGAACACAAGCTCACCCCAACCTCTCACTGTCTATTACAAAAATTCCTCAGATTTGCTATTGGTTATAATTTGTTAAAAAGCAAAATTCTGAAGTGGTATTAGAAAAGTGGAAATAAAATTCACCATGCCTCATAAAAGTGAGGAATATCCAACAGTTAGAAATGGCAGTTAAAATAGACCAACCAAACTTTTCAATTCTTAGATAAACTAACCAGTACACCAATATCCTGTAATTAGACCTAACACTAGATGTATTCTTTCCATTTCCACTTTGCATTTAGTGGAAGTGTTCAAAAACCCAGTAAATATTTAGAGGAAAAAGTCAGGTTTACATACTCAAGTTCAGCACGAAAGCATTCCTAATTACATTAGTGGGAAATTTAATAAGTGGGAGGGGTTTAGTATATTTTCTACATTTTAAAATAATTTTTAATTAATTTTATTAATTTTTGTTAAACTTATCAAGATGAGAAAAATGACTTTTTTTTTTTTAAACCCATCAATTTAAGCATCCAGTTTTCTTCAGAGTTAATGTTAAAATACAATTGCAGTGACGATCCTGGAGAACTCCTGTAGAAAATATCTACTACCACCCACCAAGGGAACGCTCCTAATTCTTCAATTGCAGCACTACATAGAAAAGCACACATAGTATGCACAGAAATCAAGGAGCTTTCTCTTTGCAACAGCCAGGTAAACACTATAGTAATTACTGTGTTTCTTCATTTACCTGTGATTGGAGTTGAGCTTGCTCAATCTCCACTTTGTGTGTGGCTGCCATTTGCTGCCGAAGTTCATCCAACAGGTGCTGCTGTTCTTTCTTTAGTTCAGCACGGAGGTTCTCCATTTCCTCTTCATGTTTAGTAATCAGCTCAGAGATTTCACGATCGTGCTCTCGTTCATGCACCTGCAGAGAAACAGCTTTCTTCAAAATATGGTTAGTTAGCCCCCTAATAAATTATTGAGCCAGAATTCTCCCCTCCTCCTGATGCCAAATCAAAGACACCATGGAAAAAACAATTAATAGGTTTTTGGATCTCTAAAATGTTTATACTGCTTAAATGACAAACAACACAAAATGAGTTTATTTTTCTGAAATAAACCCAATTACAGAATTTACCTTTTTTATTAAAGCAATCTGTTCCTTTCTTTCTTCTTCCAACTTCTGCTGGTTTTCCACTTTATCTTTTATTTCAGCATTTAATTCTTCTATCTGAAAACAGGCATACAGACATTTGCAATTACTACCATAAGCATTCTGAAATCCCAAGACTCCTGCTGTTATCAGGGTTTCCTACCTCCTTCTTGTGTGTCAAACTTACTTTAGTTAATTCGGCAAGGTGTTGAGTCTCCATTTTATCGATTTCCTCTTTGTAATATTTCACCATCTCAGATTGTGCCTCCTGTGCAGCTTGTGCAGACTGAAAGGACTCCTGCAAGCGAGTCTCAAGCTCCAAACAAACCTTCTTCATATGGGCAATTTCTTCGGTCAACTGGCTTTTTTTCTCACTGTATTCAGTACTTTTTGCCTTTATTTCAGCATTAAGTTTATGAATTTCTAGGCTGCTGAAGTTTAATCTGTCCTCATATGCCAGTCTTTCACACTCCTGTATTTCTTTGAGGTTTTTCACTTCAGCGTTAAGTTCATGTATGTTTTTCTCAAGATCCTCAATGATGCTAGCATTCTCTGCTAGTGCTTTTTCTGCTTTTATTAGATTCTCCTCCATATCAGATAATCTTTCTCCTAAGGCTGTTTTTTCATTCAATAAGAGTGCTAAATTTTGTTCTTTATTATTGATTTCAGCTTTGAGCAACTCCTGTTCCTTCAGCAATGTCTCTTCAGATATCGTTTTCTGACCAAGCAGCTCTGCTATTGTCTGGTTTTTAGCCTTCTGAACATCAAGCTGACTTTGCATTTGATCTCTTTGACTTTGCAAAGCAGCTAACTGACGTCCAAAAAGAGACTGTACTTCACTTGTTACAGAATCAGAAGCTGTTTTCTGCTCTTGAACATCTTTCACTAATTGTTCCTGAGATCGCAGCTGCACCATCAACATTTCTCTTTCCTCCTGGAGGTCTCTGACCATTTCTTGCCAGGTAGAGGATTTTGACACTTGTGTTAAAGGCTCTACAGCACAGTAAAGTTGGCCTCCATCTTCATCCTGCTGCTTTACTAGAAACATTGTTTTGTTTTCAAGTTCTCTTTCCTTCTCTGTTTTTTGAAGAAGTTCTTTTTCACAACGGATCCGTGCTTCACGTTCCTCTTCCAGTTCCACACGCTTATGAGAGAGCTCAGCCATTACTTTTTCCCATTTTCCAACAGCTTCTTGGGTCTCCTGATAAGATTTCTTCAAGGCTGACTCCTTCTCACATAGCTGCTCAGTTAGCTTCACACATCTCTCTACTAAACAAGTTGTCTCATCATTCTTTATGTCATCATGGTCGCTTATTTTGTTTTGCTGCAGAGACCTATCTGACAAAAATGAAACAAAGGCCTCTGCTCCCACCTCAGTCTCTTCAAATGTCTCTTGGGCCAAACTGCTAGGACATGTTTCCTCATCAAGGCCAAAGTTTAATGGAGGAAGTATAACATCTCTGCTGGGTTCTAGAAGCACACTACTGCATCCACCTTCTTCAATGGCATAACCTTCAGAAGTGCTGGACGCATATGACTCTTCTGGTCTCTCCGTGGAGATGAGATATTTAGCCAATATGACTTCATCACCACTGAAAAGCCCTAGTTCTGACAAGTGTTCTTCAGACAGGTTATTCTCTGTGATCCTTGAATTCTTAATTTCTTCTAATTGATCCCTTGAGGAGCCTACTCCCAAGTCACACTGGAACTCTAGTTCTTTGCGAATTAGCTTATTTTCACCTTTCAACTGGTGTGGTTTATTCCACATCTCCTCAAGCTCTGCTCTCTGCAACTGTGACACCTCTGGTAAAATCTGTTTTTCCCTCAATTCCATTAGCTTTTTATTGGAGACAATCTCTTCATCATGTTTTTGCCTTACATCTATACATTTTTCAGCCACATAAAGTCGCTTTTCATTTAATTCCTGGATGAAATAATTCAGTTTCTGAATCTCTTCATTCAAGGACTGCTTTTCTTGTTGATATTGCTGGGCTTCCTTGATCTGCTCTTCTGCATCAGAAAGTTGAGACTCAAGGCCATCAATTAAATCCTTGTATTTAGTCTCAATTTCAGATTTCTCTCTCTGGAAGTCTTCCTGTTGGTTTTCAAGTTTCCTTCTCAAATTTTCTTTACTAATTTCAGACTCACGAAGACTATTATTTAAGTCAATTATTATACCATTCAAATTCTGAATGTGCTCTTCAGAATTCAGAGTACAAAGTTCTTTTTTTAACTGTTCAAGTTCATTCTTATATTTTAAAATAATTTCTTCTTCATATACCTGCTTGGCTTCTGCAATCTCTCTTCTGTGGCACTTCTCCAGCTCAGCCCTCAAGTTCTCCAAATGTCTGCAAATATCCTTTTCATGACTGATTTTCAGTTCTTCAATATGTTCTCGTTCTTTCATTTTGGATAAAGCTATTTCTTTTTTTAATTCTGTTATTTCTGAGTCCCGGAGAGAAAGGGTATGTTTTAGTATAGACAAACTAAATCTTTCCGATGTCAGTAGATCTTGAAGACTTTTAATCTGTTGTTCTTTTTCTCCTATGCTTTTGTATAGCTGTTGCGTTGTGTCTTTCATTTGGGAAAGCGGATTTTCTTTATCTTTGGTATTCTTAAAAATAAAATATTACATATGAAATATACCACTGAAATATGACATGTTTTAATTTCCTTAAGTCTCAAGTTTTTAATGGTAAATATTATTAGTGAAGAAACATTAAGTGCAGGGTGTGTCATTGGCCTAGGCAACAGGATTTTTAAGCACATCCTTGAGAGTGGACAGTACTACTGAAAGACACGTCAAATGTGGTAACAAGTATCAAATTATCCAAGCAATAACAAATGGTATACCACTGACTCCAAAGAGAGAGAAAATAGTGGCTGTCTCAAACTTTGGGTATTTTAATTAAAAAAAAATTTTAAAAATAAATAAATCAGAGCTACAGACACCTCTCCATCTCACATCTATTTGCACAGAGAAAACACCTCCCGCAAGCAGCAGTAAGCCAACAGAACAGCCATGTCAAATTTCAACTCATCTGACCCACTTAAAAGTTTAAGGTTTCTACCTATGGCATTGTTGGTTATGTGCTTAAAGGAAATCAGACCTTTTAAGCTGTTCCTTTAATATATGCTAGTAATCAAAATCCCTATAAATTGTTTCTAAAGAAAAAATTTTTTTCATGACCACGCCACTACAGCAGGTCAGAGTTATCGCCAAATTTGAAATATATATAAAAAAAACCCCCAAACCTGTTGTGTATTTTTAACTGCGTTTCTTTATTCATAGCACTTGTTTCTGAAATGATTACATCAAAATATTCTCACATGCTTTTCACTTTGTTTTGTATCTGAAACTAACATGATTACAGACACAGTTAACTTTTACTCTCATCTAGGTGTTTCAAGTTCACACACAACTGTATTGTTATATGCTTACACAGCATATCCAGCAACCTTCACCCCACTGCAAGCCTCTGTCAGTTACGTTCCCATGTGCCTCAGTTCAGCAAACACCAGATGGACCTGCTTCTGATGGAAACTTCTTAATGTTATACAACAGTTTAGTAACAGAGTTAAAGACCAACCCTTCTGCAACAGAAACCAATGGAGTAATTTCAATAAATAAGCAAATTTTAAAGAGCCAGAACTGAATCATTATTTCATACAAAAAAAAAAAATCTTAAATTGTGAGCAGCTATTTTGCCTTAGCTGAACATCATTACCTTCAGAAGAACAGATTTTTAATTTCATACTAAAGTGTAGTTTCAGTCCTGAAGCATCAATGTTACCTCATGCACAAATTAAATGTTCATTGCAGGTTCTTCCTCCAAGAAGTACCACCTTGGCTTGCACAATCGCAAAAACCTAACTACCTAGAACTCATAATAATCATAAAGGTACTTTAAACAGTTTTTACCTTTTGAGAAGACTCAAGCTGTAATTCCAGGTCATGTGCTTTCTGACGCAGCATCTCCAAATGTGCATTTTGCTCTTCGAGACAGTTCTGAAACAAGGACATCTGCTGCTGGGCTTCTAATACTTTGTTTTTGCCAGGGCTTTTACTCCTCAGCATCTCATTAACCTGAACACATAAAGGTACTCACAGTCAGAAAAGTTTATATCAGAATAACTCAGACACAAGTCTCACTGTACATGTAAAATATACTGTATGGATACTATGGATTTATCCCACGCCTTTCATTCTCAATGAATAAGAATCTCCCTAAAAAGTCAAACAACACTTGTCATGTTTTACATACTATTACTTACTGTCAAGATATAAATGTTAGATAATTCACCTCTGTGAAGCCCCTAAAACAAAGCAGGACTTCCAACGGACTGGCCACACTGCTAAGAGGACAATGAACAAAATCAGTCTTCTCTGCAGAGGATTTACAGCTCAATGTTAAAGTTTTTTTTTTTTTTTTCCTCTCCACCTTCCTCCAAATGAAAAGAAAACATTTACCCCTATGGGGGTAAAATAAAATGTGTTTAATTCATTTTTAACACCTTTTTCTAAAGACTGCTAAAACCAAGAAGATAGTATTTAAGACACTATTAGTACTTTCATACGTTATCAAAGTTGACACAAACAACTTGCATCATATTACTAGCCTTGTTTAGAATATGCCTGAAGTGCTATTTAAAGGCTTTATCATTGCCTTTTAATGGCTTACAGAGCAAATTCCCAACAATCACCTATAGAGTAACTTTCACTATTACCCCATATTTTGTCAATAGCAGTCAGAATTGTACATAGAAAGCAGTATTTTTTGTTCTTTCCCAAAGTTAGAATTTCATTTAGCAGAGGAATTCTTTTCCAGAGCATGAGCAACTCCTTCAGGATAATGCCTGGACTTCAGTAAGTCCCAGTTTTTTTAATTTTTTTTAAACCCCCTTCCTATCCAGACATCTAAGACATGTAATCCCTCCTAGAGCAATTCTTATCTTGCAAACCTGAAATGGTAAGTAAATATAAATATTACTCTTTGGCATATACTACAAGACTCCTGAGACAACAAATATACAGGTGTTCAGAAAGAATAGCCACTAGAAGACTGAATGTCACCAAAAAAGAATAAAGTATTTAAAAAAATTTTTTTTTAAGTAGATTAAAAGTTGCAGTATACCTCATTATCCAGGGATTAGATCCATGATCAACTTGTTGCACTGAAGCAGGTTCCTATGTGTCACAGAGGTTGCATCAACTGTCTTCAGGTTATTTTAAATCTCTTTCTTTGAGCCAAGTCACATTACCTCAGCATAGCAAGTTTCTGTGTAACAGCTGAGCTGTTACAGTTGCCCATGCATATACTCAGAGCTTTCTTTGGCAAAGGCAAGGAAAACTGATCACATGTAAGCCCATATCATTACAGTGATTGTTGTGTATAGATTCCAAACCACTAACAATATTGGGTAAAATTCCGTAACAAGGGCTAAACTGATGGACAAAGAAGTGTAATGACCTCCCAAACATTACACAAGCAAGTAAGTGGAAAATATAAGGATGTCTCCAGGACTTCTCCCTAGCAACTGGAAAAAACACTGCCTCTCCCTGAAATCATTTTCACTGCTGCATTGCAAACTGAACTATGAAGAGCTACGTGATAAGCTCAATACGTTTTTACATTCATATTCCAAACCCGTTCTTATTCTCTTTGTAAGGAAACAAACGTTGGAGGAGGGGCACACCTGATGCAACTGAAGTTGTAAATCATGGATCTGACCAGCTACATGCGAAGCCTCTTCCTGTAGGTCATCCTGATCCTTCTTTGCCTGTTGAAGGCAGCTTGTTAGTTTCCTGATGACTTCATTCTGCTCTTGAACAGTAATTTCCTACATGGATCACAAGAAGTGCACTTAAAAAATTAAAATACTCTTAACATATTAGGAATGCAGTAAGTTTTCTTAAAGCAGAGCTGTTAGAGTCTCTAGTTACACTCAAGTTTTAACAAACTTGCACCAAAGGACCAGAAATACTTGTGTTCAAACATGATGGCAGGCATTCTGAAAGAAGAATCTTACACTGATCTCAGAGAGATGACAAACCTAATCAAAAACAACTTTTTGAACAAATGATAGGATACCAGTAGTGAAATAAATATTTTTACTTAAACATTTTGTACCTCTTGTTGATGTAAAAGTAATCAAGTTTTCTACAGGATATAATGAATATTTAGTACCCCCTAAATTGTTTCCTATCTGTCAGCTCTTCTTTTCAGCCATGTGAGAGAAAGCTAATGAGATGGGATACATTAATCCTATTTTATGTTAATCACATTAACCTTCTCAATTTATTTCTCACCAACAGGAAATGTCTTTGTTTCCCAGCCCTAAAAGGAGAAAAACAACATGTAAAGGGGGAAGTAACTATTCTTCAGAAGCATCTGATAATTTACCTTTACAGAGAAATGCTAGAGAAAGGGAATTCAAAATATCTTTTTTAATATTTTGGGAGAGGGGAAGGTACATGTCAGTTTAATAAAATTTAACTTATCCTACTTAATCATTTTCCCATACAAAAAAAAAAATCATCCCAAAACCAAAAAGCCACAAGTATTTACAAATACTCAAAAAGTGTGAATGATCTCTGGTGGAAAAAGTCATCAGGGGTGGTGGTGGTGTCTGCCATCCCATGTAAACATTTGAAAAGGAGCCTAGATGCATCCATGAAAGGGTTTTCAGGCATATCCACAGAAACATTGACATTTCAATAAGTACTTCCTTTTCAATAGTTTCAACAATACTGGGGGGGGGGGTGTGGGGTGTGCACCATTTTTCAGCATGACCTTGATATATATTTTTATAAATACTGACTTTAAAAAAAAAATATATAAGTCCCATGTTTTTACATTCAGCCCCTACCTCAGTGTATGATTAACTACACTTACCTCAGTGGTTCTTGCAGGTTCTCTCTATAAAGGCCCACTCCTCAATATAGTAAGAAAATTTATCAATAAAAACTAGTAGCAAGCATCCAACCATTTCTCAGCAGAAGAATTTAACTATGCATTTCATAAAACCTCTCTAAAAATAGAAGCATTTCAAATTTAATTTTATTCTCTCTTGATTCAAGCAATATGAAGTCCTGGACACTGGTGAACAGAAAACCTCAGTACTGCTTTTAGCAGCACGTTAGCAAGGTAAAGTACTTTTCATTTAAAAAAAAGAACAATACTTATTTTGAATTCTGCCTCCTAAATATTTTTAGGATTAAAATAAAGTAGCATTATGCCCATTATTCAATTCTATGAAACATACCTGAAGTTGCATAGAGTCACTGCACTGGGCAAGTTGTTCCTGTAGCTCATCCATCTGTGCAGTGAGTGTTTCGACTGCTTCCTGTTTCTCCAGAAGTCTGTTCTCTAACTCAGCTATTCTCACCTGACACATCTTAGCATCAAGCTCACTGTATTCTGCAGCAGAATCTATTGTAACTTTCTTCATAAAAGAAACAAAAATGTATTTATTCACCAAAACAATATATCATTTCTGTTCTGTGATTATTCTGAATATAAATTCAAGCTTAAATTCTGGACAAATTCTAGTTTAAAAGTAATTCAGCGTTGGGACTGTGTATTTAATAGAAACATTTCATATAAAAGGCATTAATTCTTAAAAATTTCAAATAAAAAAATTTCATAGATAATATATTTTCATATAATACTTCAAGGCGCAGAAGTAAATTAGGGAGACGAGCCTTGTGATTCCATAGCACCAAATCGTGGCAAAGTGCCATTTTCACATGTGTTGGGATTTAAAATACATTCCAACTTACAAGTGGGCAGGGAGAGAATACTACCAAAATTAAACAAAATTTTTACATACATCTGTGTTGACTGGAGAACAGTCCATCCATAGGAAAAATAATAAAGTTCTTGACTTAACATTAAATTCAAGTGTAAGCAGCTATGGCAAATAAAATATACAATATACTCTGAGTTTCTATGGCCTTTAACAGCACAAAAAAAAAAAAAGTACAGAGAGAAGCTGCTCCAATCAATCCTGTGGTTTCTTAGGAGCAATATTGTTACAATTCTCACAGAGGACACAGTATCTTGTATTTTATTTTAAATACTTTTTGGTTTTAATGTATGAAACAGTTAAAGAATGAACCTACTTTTCAATTAAAAACATCATTCAAATTTCTCTGGACAAGGTCCGTGATTTCACTAAAACCAATTCTCTTAGCAACTAATTTCACAGCCAGTACATGTATGTACAGGTAAGTACCTGGTTTAGACTGTAAAATAGCAAAAATGCATCACTTTTATCACATTTGATTACAATCCTCAATAACTAATCATTGTAGTAACCAATTATCATACTCTTCTTTTACATATATCAGCCTCTTTTACTAAAGATACATTCTTTCACACTTACTTCAGCTGCATGGTCATTCAGTACATCCCAGTTGGACAAGTCAGCACTCCCCTGCTAAGTAAACAAATAAAACAAACACTAAATCATGGCCATTTTAAAGACACATAATGAAAAGCTGAATTATTTTGGAAACACCTTAAGCACGTGAGCCAGAAACGTCCATGTTGTGAGACAACATACCAGTGAGAGAGAGAGACTGACCTTAATGCTAAACTCAGCTGGTCATCCATGGTCAAATGAACGAAATAAACGCAAAAAAAAAAATTATTACAAAAGTCTACTCAAAAATTTAGGGCTAAGTCTCCCCATTGAGATTCAATGTTTTATTTTCTGCTTTTGTGGCTTGCAAATACAGTTGAGCACTCTTTAATCCTCCACTAAGTACTAGTAACTGACAAGAGATTACTTAAGAAACATGCTAAAATCATTCAGACAATTAGGAAAGCAGTATTATTTTCTGACACATATAGTTAATGTAGCTCAATATCTTGAAAGATAGTTACCTCTCAGCAAATTCACAACAAGACAAAGAGGACTGTAGCACTATTTAGAAAAGGTAGCCCATAACCCTCCCTGTATTTTGAATTTGCACGAAGTAGTTTCCAATGACTACTGGTACCCTCTCCACATAACCTAGAAAGCAATTCCATTTGCTTTACAAACCAGCTGTTTTGACAGAAGCTGTTTAGAAGCAGTAAGTGATTTTTGTTTGTTTTTTAATTTAAGTTCACATGAATGTAAAAAGGACGCTGCTGACTATGCTATGGCTGAGTGACAAAATACGGCATGGTTTTTTCTTAGTGCAGACAGCTTGGCATGTAGCTTCATAAAAGCCTCTGCAATGCTAACATTACGTTCAGGATATCCTGAAAGCACTAGGGATACCGTCACAACAGTAAGCAGAATAATACATGCAAATGGTATCCTCTGTTACTGCAGGCTTGCAAATACACTCATTTGATGCTATTGTTTTATCTTGTGAAAACACACCAACAACTGGTGAGATGCTTTTTATGCAGAAGGCACCGCCTCCCCATAACCCACGAATCTTTGCATAGACAACATGCTAAAATGCACTGGGAAACTACTTTCTAAACAAACTCCCAGACCAAGATAGATACAGTTTGTTGTAGCCAGAGAGATGCCTTGTAACTTCCGAGGCTTGTGAAAGCATTAGCCAATCACTTCTGAAGCAAGCTAGATTACTATACCAAAAAAAAAAAAAAAAAAATTTTTCAAAACTATGTTTTGCTTATTTTTATTAAAAAAAAAAGAGAAAAAGTGTCACGTGACTGTCTAATCTCTTGAAACAACTAGATTTACTATACCAAAAAAAAAAAAAAAAAATTGTTCAAAACTATGTTTTGCTTATTTTTATTACAAGACAGAGAGAAAAAGTGTCACGTGACTGTCTAATCCACAGCTGATATAAAAATAAAAATCTTGCTTATGAGCTGAAGCAAGAAAGAAACTGCTTAATTCAGGCAGACCAGTACATCTATTAGCAGATGTCTAGTAATCTCAAGCTATATCACAAGCTATGTTTCTATGTTTATTCACATGACTACAGGGCTACTTCTAGAGAGTAACCAGTATAAACATACTGAAATACATCAGGCACAAGTAGAGTCACATTTTAAACAACTTTGTCAGAGAATGTAACATCTATACTGGCTTTACAATGGCTACTAAAAGCATGCTGGAATAAACTATATATATTTTTTCAGAAAACATTAAGCACATTTGAGGCAGCAAAGTGATACAAAACCAAACTAATGCTGTGTATTATAAGGTCCTGCCAGTTTTGATCATCTACTATGCCTCTCAGTCTGGATTTGCCATTTCATGGAGTCACAGCTACATAACTAGAAGTCTGCCCAAAGAAAAGATCATGGCAGTGAAAGGTGAAAGACCTCAATTTAGCAGGCTAACAACTGACAGTTCCTTGACAACACCAGCTGTCCAGTCCATATAATGGAGATGGTTTTTTCAGTTATTTACATCACTTTGTAAGAGAGTTAATTATTACAAGTGAAAATACATCACTTTACTTACTTCTCAACGGCAGCTAGCTGACGGTGCCAGAGTGCAAATACCCAATGAAGTAAAACAATCACCTGGAATACTTGTTATCTGCAGACGTAATGAAGCGAAACACAAGAAATACTAAGATTTACCTCTGTCTCTGTTGTTGTCTCTAGTAGGTTGGCATCTTCAGCCTTACTCTCTAGTAGGTTGGCGTCTTCAGCCTTACTCTCTATACCCTTACGAACATCTTGGGCCACTAGTGCGTACTCTTCCTTCGAAACGTCATGTGTGTGGACAGACGAGCCCTTCCTCTTCGCCGTCTTTTTCTGCGACTGCGTGATGTCGCTTTTTGTTTTTCGTTGTCTGAAGTAAGCAAACTGTGCAGAAAAGATTGGAAGAGGTAGAGGGAGAGGTAAGTGAGAAAAAGGTAGCAGGACCACAAGATTAACACACTCATGGGTGACGAAGATCCTATCTTGATAAAATATATACATCTGCAGAAAAACTGCTTTATCTTCCTACTTTCTACCCATTCAGAACATACTGGATAACTGTGCAACTAAGCAAGAAATCTCACACCAGTACTAAAGACTCATTTCAATACAAGAATCAAATTTTACTCAGTGAAACTTTGTGTGTCAATGACAATCCAGAATTACAGCAGGGCAGATTAGTAATGAGTTGTTAATATACTAGAATCATTAGGAAAAAATGATAATTGAGCAGTCTTTCTGCAAGACCAGCAAAAACAATAACCCCCTAGAAATGTATCTAAACAGATCTTTGCCAGTGTAAGCTTTAAGATTAAAATTAACGGAAGTGAATCCTCATGTTCCTTCCCTGCCACCCCCTTAAGAGAATACAGCAAAACTTCCCAGCCAGAAAGCAGTCTACAGTACATAAATAGAACATCAATTAAGCCAGGTCATTTTAATTTCTTCTGTTGAGGAATCAGATGCTCTACTTTATCAGACTATCACAGCTCTATGAAGCACCAGGGACTTGTAAAGAACGTCACTGACAGAGTTTATTACCCAAGTTTCCTTAGCACCTTAAACAGCTTAAAAAGTATTATCGTATTTTCAAGTCTAGTGTTGTGTTTAGGCAGCATTTCCAAGTAACATCTCCCTCACAGCATAAATCCAGACATCCTTCCCAGAAGAAAAAAGCCTTCTCCAAGGTTACAACCATAGGTTCACTGTTAATATATCCTTGTGGTGAGATAAAATAGATAGTCAAATGATGATGAGATGTAAATATAATTGCCAAGTTCTACCTGCAATATATATGAAAATCTACTGCTTGACAGCTTGGTTTTCCTGTAAAACAGCCACCTTGCAGAAAAATCTTGTCCGTTTCTTTTCATTCAACTTGTGAAATGGATTTAGTTCAGTCCTTTCTCCTTACACCCATGCCATTATAGCAACTTCTACCTGACAGCTTAGCTACTCAACAGATACAGAGTTAGCAGATACACCTGCTACCCTGAGCAGCCTGTTTAAAAGGTATATTTGCAGAAAGACATCAGTTTCTTACCAGCACTTAAGATGTTTATGTACAAATATGTTATTTTTAAGTTCTGTAGTTTCCATAGTTATTAATACTGAATGCAGATTAAACAAAAATCGCCAGGTGCCATGTTGCCTTTCAAAATAAGCAAAATGAACAGACCAGTAAATAAAGCTGCAGTGAGACACAAATACTATTCTTTGAAATCAGGTGTTAACTCTAGCACTTACTGATGGCAATATATGACAAAAATAGCTATTGCACTAACTAACCTTATAACATGAGGAAAAGGAACAGGAGGAAACCCGCAGAAAAATGGAGAGTAGAGGAAGCTGCTGAAGCAGGAAAAAAAGGGAAAACGGGAATAAAACAATCAGAAAAGATGAAAAACGTAAGACAGAGAGTGGCCATTATAGAGAACGTTAATGATTTCATGAAGGGAGACCAAGTATTTGACATTAAAAATACCAAGACATGCCATGACTGAACATCATACTGAGTATGAAGTTTTCAATGCACAGCTCAAAGAAAAGAAAACTTATTTTGTCCCTTTCATATGCATTAAACATATGAAATCATAATACATATCATGCAAAAACATCCAACTACTCCAAAATTCTACGGAACTACTGGACTTGTTGGTCCATTAAAGTGTCTGAAGTCAAGCATGCTCCAGGTTCACGGAATCACTGAATGGGGAAAAGTGCTAGTTAGGGGAGCACCAGGTTTCCAAAGTCTTTAATCAACTACATGAATTTAAGTGTCATTATAAGAGTATCATCAGATACACAGACAGTCATCCAACATGAAGTAGTGTGTGAAGAAAGCATATAACACTGATCCTCCCCCATCCCAGTGAGATCCTATTATGCCTCTTTTGAAGGGCCCAATTCTCAGTTTGCTTTCTAGCAGCATACACAAAGGTGAAAGCTTCACTTTTAGCCAAGAGGTAGCACGCCACAGAAACACCAACAGTACTGTCCACCGTAACGTCCAAAGCAGCTTTCCGTACAAAAGACCACCCAGCCTTTCTGCAGGTACCAATATACTGCAGCTTCATTTCACCAGGACCAGCCACTTAAAAGTGGCAACCACAAGGCACCTCTGAATTGGTACGACCAGCACCACATAAGCATCCCAGAACCAGAAGAACAAGTCTGCCAGGTTTTGTGTTGTGTGGTCCCCATGTCATCCCTGTCCCCAATTAACTGCTACACTGACATCCTTCCACCACATTATTGCAAGCTGACTGGCACCAGCGGCACGGGCCATCAGACAGGACAAATACAGCACATGCAGCACTTTCCCCAGCTTTCCCCAGCCTACCTCTCACATAATTTACTCCTTGACTTACAGGCTTCAGAAATTAGTATCAAAAGAATACCCATAGAAAATGGAACAGAGCAGAAAACCACATCAGCACCACACAGAAACAGGCTGTTCAAATAAACCTTAGTCCACCTCCTAGATACGGTAAACATAAGCACAAGTGCTCTTAGACAAAACCCAGAAACATTTTTTAGAGCTTCCTCAAACTGATGAGGCAGGAAAACTTCCTGGAAAACACACACTCCTTTTTGAGCTCCTACAGTGTAAAATGCAGGAAAAGCAAAAACTTCTCACCCGTGAGGTATGGCACACACAGGTCTGTAACTAGAGGCACAGATGGCCAACATGCATACTAGCTAACCTGAGGTGGAATAAAACAAGGAGAGAAAAAAGCAGCACTGAATATTTGGGGTTTGCTCTGTTTCTCAACTACTACCTTGGCTATCAGTATTGCATTTACAAAACATAGAGATCTGAAGTACCTAATACAATCAGTACTTAGCTGCCAAATCTTGACAATTTCCAACATAATAGTTGGAATTATTATTATTTGGTGATAACTTAAATGCATTTCCATAATGGAGTTTTTATTCCCATAGGAAAAAGAACAGTGCAAGTACTGGTTTAAAGAGGAAAACATTCACATTATATTTCTTTCACAAG